GTACCGTCGACTCAGTGCAGTTGCACTGAGGTCCTACCTGTTGACCTTGCCACTTGTCTTCGTCTGAAAAACGTGGGCCTACCTTAGACTCACCACTTGACCACTTGCCAACCTTCTAGAAGGACTAAAGCTGGGCTTCTGGACTCTACTTGGACTCCTACCCTACAGGTCTACAGTTCGAATCTTCCTACAGCCTACAACCTACGGTGACCTACTTACCACTAGCTATCGTGCAGGTCACGGGTTCAACTCCAGGGAACTGTACAGATACTGTACACAGGTAAGCTGAGGTCAAGGGATCGACCCCTGGGATCTGCATCGGCTACTGCCAAAGGTGAAAACTGTTTCAAAAGCCCATGCAATCATGCTCGTTCAGTTCTGGGTGTTATTTACATCACCATCAATGTAGTCGTGCCAATGGTCCGTCCTCCTCAAGTGGTAGCGACCGACCAGCCTACCGGTTCACCTATCGGCACCTACTGGTCACTGCTGGTCAGCACCCCGTAAAAAAAAAAGTCGACCACCATAACCTCCCACCTAACCCCTCCCAACATGCCCATAACCACCCCCCCCCCCCCCCCCCCCCCCCCCCCCCCCCCCCCTCCCCTCCCCCAAACCCCTCCCATACCCCCCACCCTCCCCCACCCCCCCCCCCAACACCCTTCCCAGTGGATATAGCACAGCCCCCAACTTGGATATAAAAAACAATCAGTGGATGGCCTTCCAGAGACTGTCGGCAAACCGCTGACCGATCGGCCCTACTGGTAGGCTGCAAAACAGTCAGCCATCAGCATCGGCGGTCGGCGGGTTTGCAACCCTGATCATCATACAGACATACATATGTCCTGAAGAATAACTCTGCTGATTACCGCCTACAGCAGCATTGGCATTCTTGTTATTCATCCCAAACTAACCAATCGCGTCATCGTCATGTCTGTCCCTACGTGATACGGCAACCACACTATCACTTCGTTATTTAGCCCCTAGAATTCATTAATTCTGATGTCTACCTCAACACCGACGGCTCTATTCACTGCGACCTCTCTAGACGGCTACACATCACACAGTTTTTTGGGTCCGTTGTTTGACCACCCTGTACCCTTGGGGACTCACCCGGAGGCTTGGCGGCTCCTGAAAGGGCACTTACAGTCTATCATATGGTGCCATTAGACAAACAAGTGACCTGCCGCGGCTCCGCCCGCGGCGAGAAGGGCGAAGGTTGTGAGAGGCGAGGACGGGGGGGTAGGGTAGTAGAAGTTGTACGCACACAGCATAGGACACGGTTAGCCAAAAACAAAAGAGTTTTTTTCTCCGTTTGTTCTCTCTTCTCTCTCTGTCTCTCCTAGTGTCTCTCTCGCAGTTGTTCTCTGTCTCCCCCTGGCACCCGAAAACATCAATCTCCGTTTGTCTGTCTCTGCCCCGACGTATGCACACATTAGGAAGCAGCACCTCAAGTTCTCCCTGTCTTTCTTTCGGTTGTCGTCGAGCTCTCTGCCCTTGCTTCCCCGACCGCAGCCCAACTTCCTCCTTTGCTCCCCTGAGTGTGTCCCAACCCGTCTCCCATCCCGACCTCCCGACTCCCATCCCATTCTCTCGCTCTCTCGCTTTGCTCTCCCGGCTGCGAGCAGCGTCTCCCTCCTTTGCTCTCTTGGTTGTGTCCCAACCCGTCTTCTATCCCGACCTCCCGGCTCCTATCCCCTCCCTGATCCCGACCTCTCCCTCCTCCCTTGTCCCGATCTCCTCATCCTGACCTCAGCCTCTCTCCCTTTCTTCTCCCGACCTCGACCTGCTCCCATCTGCCATCGCTCCCTCGACCTTCCTAATCCCGACCTGCCTCCCGGTCCCAACGTCCCATCCCGACGTCCCCATCCCGGCTTCTCTCTCTCTCCCCTTGCTTCCCTGACCGCGTCCCGAACTGTCTCCCATCCCCACCTCGTCATAAACTGTCTCCCATCCAGACCTCCCGACTCCCCGATCCCTTCGCTCTCCCGACTGCGATCTGCCGACCCGATCTCCTCGTCCCGACCTCTCCCTCTCTGCCTTTGCTCTCTCCCTCCCTAATCCCAACCTCTCCCTCCTCTGTTCGTGTCTCGCATCCCAACCTCTCGATCCCAACCTCCCATCTCGGCTTCCCCGTCCCGACTTCTCTCTCTCCCCCCGACCTCCTGACTCCCTGATCCCGACCTCCCGACTCCCATCCCATCCCGACCTCAACGTTGTCCCAACTCTCCCTCCTTGATCCCAACCTCTCCCTCCTCTCCCGTCCCGATCTCCTGTGTCCCAACCCGTCTCCCATCCCGACCTCCCAACTCCCATCCCATCCCGACCTCGACATCGTCCCAACTCTCCCTCCCCGATCCCGACCTCTCCCTCCTCCCCCGTCCCGATCTCCTCGTCCCGACCTCTCCCTCACCTCCCGTTCCCAACCTCCCATTCCGACCTCCCCATCCCGACTTCCCCCTCTCTCCCCATGCTTCCCCGACCGCGTCCCAACCCGTCTCCCATCCCGACTTCCCGACTCCCCCGACTCCCGTCCCATCCCGACCTCGATCTTGTCCTGATCTCTTCGTCCCTCCCATCCCGACCGCGACCTCGCTCCCGTCTCCCATCGCGATCGCGACCTCGCGCGACAAAAAAATTTTAAATCAAAAAAAAAAAAAAAAACAGGCGTCCCAGCTCTCCCTCCCTAATCCCGACCTCTCCCTCCTCTGTTCGCGCCTCGCATCCCAACCTCCCATCTTGACGTCCCCGTCCCGACTTCTCTCTCTCTCCCCCCGACCTCCCGACTCCCATCCCATCCCGACCTCGACGTCGTCCCAACTCTCCCTCCTTGATCCCGACCTCTCCCTCCTCTCCCGTCCCGATATCCTGTGTCCTAACCCGTCTCCGATCCTGACCTCCCGACTCCCATCCCATCCCGACCTCGACATCGTCCCAACTCTCCCTCCCTGATCCCGACCTCTCCCTCCTCCCCCGTCCCAATCTCCTCGTCCCGACCTCTCCCTCACCTCCCGTTCCCAACCTCCCATCCCGACCTCCCCGTCCCGACTCCCCCTCTCTCCCCTTGCTTCCCCGACCGCGTCCCAACCCATCTCCCATCCCGACTTCCCGACTCCTGTCCCATCCTGACCTCGATCTTGTCCCGATCTCCTCGTCCCTCCCATCCCGACCGCGACCTCGCGCGATCAAAAAAAGTAAACCAAAAAAAAAAACCAATCAACTAACCTTCGTCCGCTATCTCCGCCTAACGTCCGCGCAACCACGATCTTGTCCTTCTCCTCCTCTCGTCTGCCGCACTCCTCCTGAGCTCGAGGAACGTCTGTACCTGCCTTCACCCCCTCGTCGAACCGGACGTGTCTCTCTCTCTCTCTCTCTCTCTCTCTCTCTCTCTCTCTCTCTCTCTCTCTCTCTCTCTCTCTCTCTCTCTCTCTCTCTCTCCCCCGTCGCACCGAGCGCAGCAAGCAACACAGCGCGCACAAAGCGGCCAAAACGGTCGAACACAGCAAGCACAAAGCGCTCCAGACCGTCGGCGACAACCGTTAAGATCGTCCAGCGGCTCCCGGCTGGACGGCCCGATAGATGTTTCGGGAACCATCTGGCGCGGATCCCCGAAACCTCTATCGGGCCGTCCAACCCGCGCCTCGCCAGGCCGGCCCGCCCCGAACGACTCGTGCTTTGTTTGTCGGGCCCGCCTACTGGTCCCACCGCGTTTCCCAACAGCGGAAACCGGGATTTCTCTATCATATGGTGCCATTAGACAAACAAATGGTGGGCTCTCAGGACTGTCCAAACCCTTGCTTTGTGACCACTGTTCGGCACAACCTCCTAGCAGGCCATTTTTAGTTGACTCCACTCCCGTGCAGCACTGTGTTGTGTGCTCGGCCTTGGATCATATGCTCGCAAGAGTCGTCCGCCTTGTCTTCACACTTGCTTCAATGGCCATGTGTCAAATGTTGAGCTCACAGCAGACATTCGTCAATTCAAATGTATGATTTCTGGCCTGCAATACCCACGTCAGCCGTATTTGCGCCCTGCTCACAACACGGGTCCATTTTCTAACTTTATTACCATCGTCCACATGCATCTTGTTGCCCATACCGCAGAATTCCTGTGTGTCTTGCGGCTACCGGAGGTTGTAAGTGGCTTACACCCACAACCTCCTGCAATGGGTATATGTATTTCGGACAAGATGGTATCATTCACATCCAATTCTGCAACGTCACAGAATTGGTGGTCAGCATAACATCTCCCCTCTAAACCTTGGTACCTGTCCCTGTCATCAACCATTTCCACACACCACAGAGATTGTTGACAGCCATGCAGGCTCTCTTCTTCGCAGTCCCTACAGAGAAAGGCTGGCATCTCACTGCCTATATAACTCCAATTGCCACGCGTTTCTGTTCTTAGCATGTGGAAGCCATGCTGTTTGTGACAAAAAAGTCCCGAAGATGTGGTAACGCCCAACCCCATGGCAGACCCAGCAGATGAAGCACCCGCTTCACTGCTGCTCAAACCCAAGCAGTGGCTGCCCATCTACAGCGCTTCTCCAGCAGCATGGTGGTGTCAAGAGCACAAAACAACTGCTCTGCTCCACCAAAGACACCTTACACTTCGGACATGCTCTTGCACTAACCTGCCGGACAGGACTGCTTAGGACCTCAGACCAACTAACAGTTATGGGTCTGTAGTTAATATATAGTTAATACATTTAGTTAATCATATAAACAAGCGATTAATGTTCTGCTAGAAAGACTTGTCTTCCATAGGTTTTTTGCATTAGCGCCGCCCGGTTAGCGCTGCACCCCACACGCTAATTTTCGCCGACCGCGCCTGGTACCCAAATTATCTCATGCGGCTAAGCAACACGCACGACGGGTCGTGGGTTTCCCGCCCTTTTGCGCTTCGTGAGGCGAGTGGGAGAAGGAGGAGAAAGGGGGGGAAGCCACGTCAAGCATCATCAAAAACGACAAAAGCTTGCCGGAATCAGGAAAGGGCAATTGAGTGAAGGAGAAGATCGTAGTGGAAAGAAGGGAAGAAAAACGGAGCATTTCTAATAAAAGGAAAAGACGATACGTAATGGGGGGAAGATACCAGATGGAGAAGGTACATGCGTGAACCATCATGTCCTCCAACTAAGGAGAAAGGACAGCGAAAGGAAAGAGACGGGAGGAACAAAGGAAAGGGGAGGAAAGTGCTAATAGAGGAAGGATCACATACAAGGCAAGGGTAGAAGAGTTGGGAAGACAAATCGGCGGGTCGTCTCAAGCAGCCACAAGCTTCGGCATCATTTCTGCCAACAAGGTCAGATCAAGGTCAGACCAGCCCTCTGCAAGGCCCAGGTAAGATTCACCGCTTCATCTTGTGCCAATCCTCCGACCACGTTCGCCACAAGAAAAGACAAGGAGGGACAAAGACCAGGATGGAGATTTTTCTCCACCCACTGGGAGGAAACAACTTCATTCGACATAGCAGCTACAGTACACAGAATCGACAGAGATAGGGGCCAGGCTGACGGGTAGAGAGTAAAAGTCACAGAAACAAGCACGCTAGAGTAACAGCAACCTGCTAAAACCGAGACAGTCTCCTTAACGGACCCGACGTTTCTTCGCCGACTCCCCATTCCTCCACAGCCATCTCTCCGCGTACCAACCAGCATTACAGGGATAATTCACCCTGACAAGTTACCCTAATCATACCGCTCACGCCTATACCTCCATCAGCCCAAGAAACACTACCCAACGCCACTGCCGCCAGCGCACAAAACACCCCTTTTCCACCCACCCTCCCTCCCCCATTTCGCATCCCCTCCAAGCCCTTCGTGACAGGTATCCAAATCGCATTCCCCCCTATACCCATCTCCAGCGGACAAAACTTCCTCCTCCCCCATCTGTCGATTCGTCACCCCCCCCTCCAGCCCATCCCCCACTTCTCCCCCGAGGTAGAGTTATTAACAATTTTACTATGTTACCTGATCGGACGTCCGGGACCCCCCTGACCGCCCGGGACTGTCCGATCGGACAACCGGTCGGCCGTCCCTTTAGGACACGGACTTGGGCAGTGCAGGGGTGGACTGCGGGGACAGGCGAACCCGGGTTGCCGACGGGAAGAATTGTTGAAGGCCGATAAGGCCTCCAAAAGCGAAAAAAAAAGGCCTAATCTGGGCCGTCAGATCTGCGAGATCGACTGCCCAGATTAGGCTATTTTCAAATTCGGAATGGGGGCAGTGGCGTTCTCCCCCGCGCGTCTCGGCCCGCGTGTTGTCGCCGGAGTTCGGGTTGCCATTGCCGAACTCCGAGGTCCACGAGCGCAACCCCACGCGCCATCCCGCGCACATCAGGTGAGCCACCTTCCCTTCATCCACCTCCTCCTCCTCCTTCTCCCCCCCTCCTCCTCCTCCTCCTTCCGCTTCTCCTATCTTCCTCCTTCCGCTTCTCCTCTCTTCTTCCTCCTCCATTTCATTTTCCTCCCCCTCCTCCTCCTCGTTGTTGTCGTCCTCCTTCTCCACCTCCACCTCCTCCTCCTCCTTCTCCTCCTCCTCCTCCTCTTCTTCTTCTTCCTCTCCTCCGTCATCGTGGCCTCCTCCTCCTCCATCGTCGGTCCCTCCTCTTCTTCCTCATCATCCTCTTTGTCCTCCTCCTCCTCCTCCTCCTCCTCCTCCTCCTCCTCTTCTTCCTCCTCCTCTTCCTACTCCTAGTTTTCCTCCTCTTCTACTTCTTCCTCCTCTTCTTTTTCTTCATCCTTTTAAGTTCTCTCCCTCCTCCTCCTCCTCCATCGCCCTGGCCTCCTCCTCCTCCACCTCCTCTCCCTCCTCCTCCGCCTCCTCCTCCGCCTCCTCCTC